GAGCCGCCCACCAGCACTGACAGGTGACACCCCTGCCAGCAAAAGGCACCTTGCAGACAATGTGACTCAAAGCACCTCCCTATCCATGCTGTCATGGGAGGCAGGCCGGACTCTATTTCTGGTCCTGTCACTTGCAGGGTGTGGCAAGTGAAGGGGATAGTATGTGCTCCCCGGCCTTGGCCCTCCCCACTTAGAGCACCGGGGTGACGTTGGCCAGTCGGCCGCACTGTGGTGGCTGGCGGGCTACTGTGAGGCTGGAAGCCGAACCCCACAGGCATGGCAAATCACCCGCCCAGGGTGGACAGGCTTGGAAGAGCATCCTGGGGGTTGATTTCTGGATGTGAGTCCGAGAAGACCTTGTGGGTCACAGCAGGAGCGTCGGAAGAGTGGCCCCTAGGCTGGGAGGCACTCACCATCCCCCGCGACCCCCAACAACGGGCTCCAACAGGCCCACAGGGCTTCCATAGCACCTGACTGACCACAGCAGTGACAAATTGATCTTACCAGGCGATGATGATGATGAAGGGTCCAGACCAGGTCATGAGGCGCTGGGCAGGGTGCTTGGGCATCAGGGACTGGACAAATTACTAGGATTTGGGAGAGCCATTGCCCATATGTGTCCAAGTCACTTTGACAAGGACAGGGCGGGGCTCTCTCTGCAGAGAAAGAACCCTGCTGGTTCCGCCTTTCTGGGCAGCCACCATTACAGTCACTCTGGGAAAAGGTGGGGTGGGACCGGGGTGAGACCGAAGCCAGGCGTGGGGCAGGCACCCACCTTGGCTGTGCTGATCCATCGGGCTCTGGGGAGGACCTATCCCTGGGTGTGGGGGTCGCATCCCAGCATTCTTCAAGGTGCCGCAGTGGGTCTCTTCGGCAATCCCCTTGTCTTGTACCCCATCCATGGGCTGAAAGAGCCAAGACCCCTGTTAGACCCTTCCTGAAGCACCCCACCATCCAAGAGACCTTTCTCAACGTTTTCAAAGGTATAGTGTCTTCCCCCATTTCCTGGACCAGAACCCAAGCCCAAACTCACTGCCATTGAGTCAAGGCTGACTCATAGGGACCCTGTAGGACAGGGTGGAACTGCCCCCCGTGAATTTCAGAGACGGTGAAGTCTTCATGGTGTAGAACACTCTCTTTCTTCCCAGAGTGACTACGGGTTTTGAACTGCTGGCTTTGAGGATCGCAGCCCAATACATAACCACCACGCCCACCACCTGGAATCCCAATTTCCTGTACAGCAGTCATATATTTTTCGACCTCACTGAGTGAGGGCAGACCAATAATGACAAAGACCCCCATAGTGGATTTACACATTGGGCTGCTAACCTCACGGTCAGTAGTTTGAAACCAACAGCTGCTCCTAGGGAGAAAGATGAGGTTTTTTTCTTCCTGTAAAGAGTTATAGTCTCAGAAACTCACAGAGGCAGTTCTACCCTGTCTTAAAGGGTCCACTCTGAGTCAGGATCAACTAGAGGGCAGTGCATTTGGTTGAGTTATAGGATAAGAAACACTGGTGGTATTGTGGGCTACCCATGAGCTGCTAGTCACAAGGTCGGAGGTTCAAACCCACTTGTTGCTCTGTGGGAGAGAGGAGAGGCTGCTCCCATAAAGACTTAAAGTGTTGTTCTGAAATTCATGATGTTGATGACGGCACAATCTTCTTAATATGACCAAATGATTAAATTGTCTATGTGAAAGATATGCCAATGAAACTATTTTAAAAGAGATTCGAAGTGTTGGGAACCCCAAAGAGCCATCGCGCTCGGTCCTATAGGGCGCGGCTATAGGTCAGGATCGACTCAATGGCAGTGGGTTCGGTTTTGGGGGGAGAGGTGGGTTAACCATTGGTCTACTACTCTCAAGGTGGGTGGTTCAAACCCACTGGCCACTCGGAGGGAGAAAGACACAGATTCACATTCTTGGAAGCTCCAGATAGGCATCTGCTCCATGGCAGGAGGTCTGATTATGCTGCTGCTGCTGTCAGGACCCATCGAGCAGTTTCAGACTCACAGGATCAAGCAAGTGTCTGTCCGTCACAGGTGATCACAAACATCAACAACAAAACCCCAACCCAGTCGATGCCGCATCGACCCAAGTCATAGGTTAGGGCTTTAGTTAAAGACTTAGAACATTCTTTAAAAAATTCATTGTGCTTTAAATACTATCGACACCTACAATTATTTTTTTAAAGGCTGACCACAATAAGCTAATCGTCCATACCATTTTAATCAGTCTTGAAATGGGTCGTAGTTGAAGTGAGGAAGGACTACGTAAAACGTCTGTGACGAGCTATCTTTGGACAATTTCTTTTCTTTCTTTTTAATTTTTTCCCATCTGAGAGGAAGGAACTGTGGAAAGTTGGAAAGCTGGATCCAGAAGGTTCCATGGCAGTTGGAAAGAGAGAAACAGACAAAACCTAGACTGGGGGGAGGTTGGACACACAGAGAGAAGGAGGTGCAGGGCAGATAAAGCTGACCCCCTGAAGGAGGGAGAGAGGTCCCCCAAAGGCTAAAGGCATCGTGTGGAAAAGGAGAAAGACAGGCTGGGGACAGAGGCTGCAGCACTGGTATGTCCCAGTCGCCCGGTAAATAGCTCTTGACGCTAATCTGATCCAGAACCTGGCAACCAAACATGAGTTTGAAGTGGGGGAGGGAAGTGGGGGAGTCTAGGCCTCCCCAAACCAGAGGAGCAATTTTCAACACAGCCCGAGAAGGAACGCTTTCCAGAAGTTTATAGAAACCAAATGACTTCGGGCAAGAAAAAAGCCTGCGTGGCTCGCAGTTTGGGGAGAAATGAAAAGTTCGTGTCTGCAGCGTGGAGAGCAAGCCCTTGGCAAGGGGAGGATGCTTCCCCCACAAAAAGGAGCAGGAACTGTTGGGGGTGGGGGGGCAGGGGAAGAATTAGAACAAATCAAAGAAACAGCTTTGGAGAATCAAGCCATAATCTACTACTTTCTGCTCAGGCATAATTATAGAAGTTCAAGATTAAAAGACATGTACTTACTGATAATTCTAAGTTAATTGAACATTGGATCAAGTAAAAGAAGAAACAAAAATGTTAAATTCAGGGAGGCATTTTTTAAAATCCCTCATGATTCACCTCTTGGCTTCCCAATTTATCCTAGTTAAAATATTTGTCACTATTTT